CATACGCGGGCTCATAAAACTGATTTTTAAGCAGGATTTTTCCCTCCACTTCCCTCTTGCTGCTGCCACTAAATGCGCAGACGTTTCAAGATGGCCGCCAACAAAATCATAAAATCGATCGTGATGTTTACAGCTGTACCACTAACTTTAAAGTGATATGTAACATCCCCGCTGGAAGTCCTTCGACTTGGAAATTTGGGACATCTCACGACTTTATACCCATTTTTCACTACTTTTCCCAGCTCTAGGTTCAGAATCACACTTATTTTAAATTCGGCACCTCTTCAAATTATATCTCCCTCCCCCTTCCAATATAAAGCGCCCCCTTAAGGCTAAAAATATTGCATAATCAATAATACCCCTTATCCCGAACGCACGCGCTTTAATAATTAACAATTCTTAGATTAATTGTTAAATTAGTTATTGAAGCATGAGGCTGAGTACCAGCGGAGTATCATCTGAAGAATTATGGAGATCGAGGAGGTATCCGCCGAGGCCGTAGACACCTCTTACTGAAGTGAGCGAGAATGACCCATATTCTAGCCTGCGAACCGCAGACGTATGGTCCATATTTTCAGCTACGACCCAGGCGACGACCGGAAATACTTCTGCGGTTCGCAGGCTACCGATATTCCGGTTTGAAACACAAACAGTCGTCGGACAAAGGTTTGCCGCGTAGGAAATATCATCGGGCACAAATAATATAATTTCGTTTCCTTTTCTTTTTGTAGATATAGGCTTTTTTTTCTTTTTTCGCCGAAAGGACCCGGTTGCTGTCGCCGTCAGCCCTTCTTTGTGTTGTCACGCAACGCTCCTCCCACAAATTTGCGTGACGCGACACCTGTTATTGATTGCTTGCTGGGCGACCGCTGATCCAGTCGATCAATCTGCCGAGATCGCTCCGGATCTGTCGTGTCATTCTTAGCTTGTAGCTGCTGTAGCGTTTCTGAATACCGTTTTCTTTAGTGAGTCCTTTTTAGGGAAGTTGTCCTCTATCCTCCAAGGTACGTTGAAAAGTATATTTAACTTTTGTAAAATTTCAATTTGATATTTTACGTTAAAAACCATTGTTGTTGGGTCTGTTTTGTTTCTCACGTGGGACTAAATTCAACGTTGGGTAGTCGATGAACAGTTACCGCGGCGGTGAAATGAAGCGGGAAGAATCAACTTATCAGGGAATCCCTTCTATAATCCAAAAAACTGGAACGTTGAAAGTTTTTAGAGTAGTGATTAACGTTGTTGTCTACTGTTACATAATCGTAACGATCGTACCGGCTTTTCAAATTCTCTCTGTAGTAAACTTAACACATGTTAGCATGCAATAACTGAACCGTTTGTGTTCGATTAGCCTGAAATCAGACTGTGGATTTTAAAATGAATCGGGGAGAATTGTCGTGTAAGAGAAACCCTCCTATAATCCGCAAAAAACCTTGGAACATGAATATTTTTTAGAGTAGTGAATATTTCTGTAGTCTACAGTTACGTAACGATTGCACCTTTCTAAAACTCCTCTAACTTTGTGCCACATGTACGCGAACGAAGACTGTGAATTTTTCCTTTCCAAAGCCAGTAAGTGTACTTCTGAGTATTTCGGTGACAGTTTTTGTATGTCAAACACTGCTAACTGTTTCTGGGTTTTCTTCCTGTTTGATCACCTGTTCTAGCTTATTTTTAAACTTGTTAGTGACAATCGAAACAATGGCCAAACTATAGGTATTTGACCCGCAAGGCAAAACACCACTTTGATTAAAAGTTTCCTTACTGTAGCCAAAGTCTAAAACTTTTTCTAAAAAAATTTAAACGAGGAAAATTACATTGTTAGACCGCCTTCTAAAGAATTTGGAGACGTTTGCATTTCCAATTTTAGCTTAGTCATGCTTCCTGAAAACACTTCAGTCATGAATTCCGTTGAGTGCATCGCTTAAGCTTATTATAATAAAATATTGATAGAAGTTGGTTGTGTTGTGATTAATATGTTTGTTAGAAATTTTACATTTGTAAAAGACAAACTCATCATCTTGAAAAAAATGATTGTTGCTTTTTGTTTTTGCTTTGATACTGATAGTCACCAATATTTAGAAAATCGTCTTGCTTTTCTTTGAATTTTCTTTCGGCCACATCCTATTGAACGCCAGGGTGAATGATCACAAATACCACGTTAAAAAAAAAACACAAAAAATCCATGATTGGCTGAAATTTCAAGACTTGAAAGACAAACATAAGTTACATATGTAACAACTCTACAGACAACACTGTCGACGTTTATGCTCTCCATTAGCACCAGCTAATAATTCTTAATAGTGTAAAGTTCCCTATTGCATCATATATTTATTCACTTATTGAAATGCAAATGATTAACATTTTGGGTTTTTTTTTGTGCTTATAAGGATGACTAAAGAACCTCTAAAGCAATAGACCTTTTTTAATTATTGATTGTGTAAAGAATACTCTAAGGGGTATGTCTTAGGACTATTTTATTTACATTTTAAATTTTTTCTGAGCATAATTTATGTCCCCAACTGGGTTAACAGCTAAATACTCAGAGACCTAAATATATTCCATCCATTCTGTCACTGATTGATTCATTCAAACTTGTATGATCATATAATGCTCTCTTACACTCTGCATCTGCAAGACAAAGGAGATCAACTGTCCAGATGTGATGTCATGAGCCAAGTGTCCCCTGATCATGATCATCCTGACAAGGAAACTCTGGGCACCTTATACTTTCTTAAGTTTCAGAGCTTTAGGCCCCTAGCTACCATCCAACAATACCCATATTTCTGTATGATATGAATCATTACAGTGCCAGATCAACTATCTAACAATGTCAAAAATGTTAATGTTTACATTCTTTGACATGTTATTGGCTTTCTAGGTTAATTATGTGACCTACTGTAGTACCTATAGATAAGCAACATCATTCTTTAGTTTTGTTCAGCTGGCTGGGTGCATTTAAATTGTGTCTTATCTTTATGGACAGGCAGAGTTATAGGGTAAAAAATAAACTACCCCTTTTAGGTCTGGCTTTTTAATATTCTTATAATTTGATCAAGAAAAGTAGGTTACATAAGAAGGTGTCATTTTTGTTGTTGTTCTCAAACTCTTTTCAAATGACTGACCCAGAAAAAGTAGAATAAATAAATAAGTTTTTGGGAAAAAAAAATATAAAAAAGAGACAGTAAGTCTGTAGGCAAACATAAAATAAGTTTAAGGCAATTTTCAACATATTTTCGGTAACTTCTAGTAGTGTAAATTCTTGATTAATCGTGATTATGACTGTTCAGTTTGATTCACGATTCTTTGCTTCCAAGTTTCGATTTTGGTTTGATTTTTGCACACCTTTTCCAGGGTGCCCTTAGTGAGTTATTATATTGTAAAATGGGAATCCAGAACGCTTTAAATTGTGCATTTATGATTGACGAGCAAAGACGATAGCATTTTGTGCGTCATTTTCTGTTGCCTGGTAAAAATGCTGTCCTTCAACCACCCCTTGAGAATTTCCAAATAAGCCAAACTGTGTTCGACATGCTCTTTGTCAGGTTCTCAAACATGGCGATGACCCAAGTGACTGTGAATCCTCCTACGGTTGCATGTTGTTTACATTACACGTTATGTTATAAGAATTAAGAAACATTTACATAATCAAATCGAACCGTAAGGAATATGAATCGTTACACCCCTAACTTCTAGGAGGTTTGAATCCTGTTGGGGACTCAGATTTTTTCTGTCCCACGCTCATGACATGCTGATTATTTTATTTTCACATTTGTTTCACCAGGCTTAAAATTTACCATTTTTCATTTCTTTCACCACACAGTGCAACAATCAACATTGTTGATCCTAGCAGTATGCAGGGCGCGTGTCAAATATAATCCTAGTATATGGCCTCGCTCTCCATGAGTTCTCCCTAGCTCAAGTGGATAGAGCAGCCAGCCAGTGTCTGGGAGGTCATGGGTTTGAGTCCTGTCAGGGACTCAGATTTTTTCTGTCCCATACTCATGACATGCTGATTATTTCATTTTCGCATTTGTTTCACTGAGCTTAAAATCTACCATCTTTCATTTCTTTCTAGCAAATTTTAAGCATATGTAGCCATATTTAGGGCAGGCAAAGGAGCTTGAACTTTGTTAATATTTTTAATATGAAATGTAGGCATTAGTCGTCATGTTTCAACGTGCATTTTACGGGGTTTTCCAGATTTTAAATATAGCCTAGCCTGAGAAAACAGTGGAAATTTGGCGATTATAATTTACCACTGGTTTCCCCGCCAAATGATGTCTGAGAAACGAGCGCAGAAATTCCATACTGATGACGGGTCACTACCCAGACCTGGGTAGTGCCTCTAATTGGTTGAATCAAATTCTTACGCGGCATGACCAATTAGAAGCACTACCCAGATCTGGGTAGTGAGCATCATCAGTATGGAATTTCTGCTCTCGTTTCTCAGCCGTCATTTGGTGGGGAAACCAGTGGTAGCGTCGCCAAATTTCAGCTGTTTTTTCAGGCTATAGATTTAGGCCACAGGCTGTGCTATGCATTCGTTGTTGCTCTTGTTTCACTGTAAGGAATTTAAAAGTCCTGGGGGGTTTTCTGCCTTATATGGGCTATATAGGTATGTGCTGCTGTGAAGGGTATGGTTTTCAAGCAGTTTAGTCTGGGATAGGGTATAAAAATCAAAGAGTTCGGGACTAAAAAAGGGTATCATTTTCCAGGAAACTGATCAATTGGTTGAAAATGTTAGTCTAGACTTAGGTAATTGGGAGTTAACACTCAAAAATGTGAAATCAGCAAATTTAAAATTACCTCCAACTCAATTTAATAGCCAAAAAGGTGTCAACCTCAGTAGTTTCAGTAACTCTAGGATAGAAAGAAATTGTGTGAGTTTAGTATCTATAGGTACTATTACTTTTCTGCTAGGGTCAATTTAAGTAACTGATGTCATAGTCAGTACTCATTAGGCATAACTAATTTGCTCATCCTCATTTTCCCCATAAAATAGACAATGAACACAGCATATGTAAATGGCCTTGGAATTAATGGTCACGCCGCAGACCACTCAGAAAACGGAATAGCAGTTACGAAGACTAATGGTTGCCACATGACTAATGGCCATCAGACGGCAGGAAAGGATGCAAGTTTGTACTCGACTGGACCTCATGAGGCTATCCCAGAGCGTGTATTGATCACTGGTGGTGCAGGCTACCTTGGTTCAACCCTGGTACCCCTGTTGTTGCAACGTGGTTATGATGTCGTTGTATATGACAAATTCCTGTGGGGAGTGAGTCCTCTATTGGGTTACGCAGGCAATCCACATCTGAAGATTGTGCGCGGAGATGTTCTGGACAAGAAGCATCTAGCCAATGAAATGGGGGACTGCGACATTGTTATTCATCTTGCTGCTATTGTTGGTTACCCCGCCTGTGAGAAATTTAAGGAATTAGCTGAGGAGGTTAACTTGCAAGGTACTCAAAATGTTGTTGACAATCTCTTGCCTGGTCAGCAACTGATTTATGCTTCCACTGGCTCATGCTATGGAGCAGTTGAAAATGGTCTTTGCAGTGAAGAAACACCAATAAATCCATTGACACTGTATGGCAGAACTAAGGCGGAAGGAGAGAAGATAGTCTTAGAGGCTGGAGGAGTTGCCCTGCGTTTAGCCACTGTCTTTGGAGTTTCTCCCCGTCTGAGGCTTGATCTACTGGTGAATGACCTAACGTACAAAGCCCTTACTGTGAAGCACTTTGATCTTTACCAAGGGGAATTTCGTCGCACTTTCTTGCATGTGAAAGATGCTGCTCGTGCTTTCGTCTTTGCTATAGAAAATGTTGAAAAGATGGAAGGCCAAGCATTCAATGTGGGAGATGAAAAAATGAACTTTTCCAAGTCCGATGTTGCTAAGTTCATACAGGAAGCTGTTCCAGAATGCATGATAAGTGAATCAAGCAATGGAGAGGACAAAGATAAGCGGGATTATCAAGTTTCTTACAGGAAGATAAAAGATTTGGGTTATTCAGCCACGATCAGTGTTCCAGATGGTATTCAGGAACTTCTGAAGATTCTTCCAATTATAACTCCAGAGGATGCCAAAAAAGCTAGGAATGTTTGAATACACACAATATTTTATACTTATCTTTGGTTTTAATAATGCAATCAATAGGTAGATGTGCGATATTTAATTGACAAGGAACTCTATCCTGTTGAAGAAAAAACTGCTTGTTAAGAATATACTATTGTCACTGAAAAATTTGTGACTTCTTACAAAACTGTACTTATTTAATGATGTTGGATATAATATGTTAACTCTGTTCAATTTTAATGGTCAAGACCAATTTAAACTTTTTAAAAGAAGAGCTGCAAGTGTTTTGAGAGATTTCTGAGCCACTAATGCAGTTCTTTTCATTTTTGGAATTGTCCTCAGTGGGACTATGCTTTAATTACTTTCCCATGAAAATAGGTGCTTAAAATGTGGCCATGTTTCGATTTTGACGCATTATGAATGAAATTTTAAAAGTTTCAGAGAAAATTTTGTTGTGACATTGCCAGTTGGCAACTGATGGCATTAGGCAGCCATGTTGGTTGTCAAGAAAAAAACATTTCCTGTGCTGGAATGTTAAGTCTTTTTGATGCCAATTCTTTGAAAAAATGACTTTTTCAGTCACTTTACATGGCAACCTTGTCACATGGTCGCAAACCAAGGATAGTGTAGTTGTTGATATTTAAAACATTTATGTGATTTATTTAACAAAATTAGTAGAATTCAGACATGGGTATTTGAGTTGTAAATTAACATAGACTTTCCATAGACTTTTACCTTTTTGTGACATAAATGTTTACATTCTGCTTTTACTAACAAAAAACGCGCTCAAGTAGGTGTCCATCTCAATATGAATTGAATGGAAAAATAGAAGATATTTTTTGAGTTGTTAATTCAAATGATGAGTGCAGCCTTTCACTCGCTCATATTGATATTATCAGTATAATCAGTATAACCTAAGATCGTTGTCCTGTAGGTAGACACCCCTGCAACCAAAAAAGTGTCCCTTTGTAGAGGTGGGGTAAATAAAGGTCAGTGCTTATATGTGACTGGGACCATGAATAGTGTCTCCTTCCAGTAAGTGTCTGCCTCATCGCCAGCTGCTTCCAATCGCTTATTTAAGAAATTTTAGTTAGTCACTGAGGAAACTGAGTGGGGGCAAAAAGAGAGATTCCTACTATCCCCTGCTGGTTTTCTCTGTTCTTCCTCAGCCCCCTTGTGGAATTCCACGGAGGTAGAGGTGGTGTCTGTTTACAGAGGTTCAACTTCAGTAAGATAACCTTTTTCTTAGTGTGTTAACACTTTCAGCATTTCAATGTGCATTTTATTGTTTCTGGTCGTCTGCCTCTGCATCTTTTAAGAAATATAGCAAACGCTAAATGAATTCTGGTCGTTGTACTCAAATGCCGTCACGAAAATGGCTCGTGGCGAGAGTCAATAACAGCTGGCTGTGAGGAAACATTTCTTTGAAAATATTTGTCTTAGAAGGTTAACACGTGAATACAGCGTTGATTGGCTCAGCAATATTTATCCAGATAATACTAGGGACTGTATAGCTACCCTAGTACTAATTATGCAGATATCACTTTACATCAGTTATTTTGGTTTTCTTCGATTTTAACTGCGATATTTTTGATATCTGTGTAATTCAATGGAGTAAATATAAATAAATATATAACCTTGCGCAAGGAATATCCTTCAGTCTCTCGGACATATAATCAGAGAAAAGTAACTGTTGCCCTTCCAATATTAGCAAAACTGTGATGTTTTTGTGTTTTGTTGTTGTTGTTTTTTTAACTCGATTACTATTATGCTAGAGAGAAAATAAAATTGTTAAAATATATATGTGTGTGGTTCTTGCTTTGATTCCTACTTCTAATACGCCTGGGGTCTACTTCCATATATGGGCTATATAGGTATGTGCCGCTGTGAAGGGTATGGTTTTCAAGCAGTTCACTCTAGGATAGGGTATATGAATCAGAGTGCTTGGGTCTAGAATAGGGTATCATTTTTCAGGAAACTGATCAGTTGGTTGAAGATTTTATCTAGACTAGGGATTGTGGTATAGGGTTTGTTTTGGCTAGACTACTGTGCTAGTGACCTCAGTAGTTTCTGGAAAACAGCTACTCTAGGATAGGGGGATTTGGGGAGTTTACTCTAGTATAGGGTGACAAAATTAAGATGAAGTAGCTCTGGTATGGGTTAAGGGTTCTAGGGTCCCAGCGGCACATTCCCACCCAGAAATTCCTAAAGTACCCCCCCCTACCCCTGGCTAATACGTCAGTCAGTTCCAGCACCGTCCATCCTCCCCACTCCGGGCTAAAACACGGGCATTTAAGAGCATTTTTTCCTTGGATGGCAAAATTCCCCAAATGGGGACTCTTCCGAATGTCCCTCGGTGGGAAAAAGTGAAGGTAAATTCCCCGCCCCCGGAAGAGTCTCTTATCAACACTGTAGCCGTCATTGCACAAGACAGAAGTGACACTTTCAGCATTTCAATGTGCATTTTATTGTTTCTGGTCGTCTGCCTCTGCATCTTTTAAGAAATATCGCAAACGCTAAATGAATTCTGGTCGTTGTACTCAAATGAAAGAGTCTTAAAAAAAATTGTATTTTAAAGTTAAAAATAGCATTGCAGAGAACCCTGGAAACTAGGTTCTAACGACAAAATTGTTTTCGAAAGCGAAAGGCGTCCGCTGAGCTGAGGCTGAGGTACGATGGAAGATGAGGACCCATAGTGGTGTAATGACGTTGTGTAAAACACCAGGGAGGCGGACAATCGCAACTTTTTTTGCTCCTAGGGGGCTTCTAAGAGACGTTTTTGAGCGACGCACGTCAACCGGAAGTGAACTTATTCTCTTTTAATATGCCTTGTCGCTTCCAAATTTGTATTCCTAAGAGTCTTTTCTCTTATAGAGACGATTTGCCCAAAAATTTGTTCAAAATCATCGCTCAAGAGTGCAAAAAGTCCACTTCCGGTTGACGCGCGTCCCTCAAAATGGTCGCTGCTTTTTAGACATCATCAATCAACAATCGTTGTTCCAAAAAAATGGGAAATACTGTGCAATGCACCATCCACGGAGAACCCTTGGAAGCTGTTGATCACCACAAATTCCTTGGAGTTGAGCTATCCAGTGATCTAAATTGCTAGGATTATGGCAAAAGGCCAACAGATCCCTTAGCGTTATAGGAAGAAACTTTAAGTAAGTGTCCAGAAAACGGAAAATAGCAAGCCTATCTTACTTTAGTTAGACCACAACTTGAATACGTGGATGTTGCGCATGGAATCCGCACATTCAAAAACAGATAAAGGACATTGAGAGTGATCATGAGCAGAGACCTTCGGCACTTTTATAAAAAAATGAATATAGCACAACTCCTGGAACTATTACGAAAATTTTTGAATGATTTGAAATGGCCAATACTCGGGAAGTTTCTTAAGGTTTATCATTTCCATGTAGTTCTGATCGCAATCCGTTACGCTAAAAAAAGGAACAAATATGTAAATCATTATACTTCACAGGTGTTTTCAATACATAAGATTCTCATCAGTTTTTTACGAGAACCAAAATAGAATAATGAGTCATCTATATTCACCCATGCGCAAATAACCCCAAAATGATTTTTGAAATTTCCTAACGGCATCGTAGTTTCGAGCAAGTCTCTCCTGAACGATCATGGATCGCTTGTGTTTAACGATACCTGATGAAAGTTATTGCTGATGAAACTGTTCGCTCTATTGCAAGGTGCATGGTGTAACATTAGAACTGTACCAACAATACAGTGAAGACATTCAACTCACCGCGCGAATCAATATGGAACTGATTTGAAAGTGTAAGTGCTACACCTATTGCTATATCTCTTGCATTTCTCTTGTCTGAACGAATTGTCAAAGAGCTGCCAGGTGCACACTGTTTAGACTGTGAACTTCTTTTTCAACTGAAACCTTTCAGAGTGTTTTATTTTAATCGACAGTTGTATGTTTTTTCCTTTTTCTTTTCCCTCAGTTTTGAGAATTAACGTTCAGTACATGGTTGAGTGATGAGGAAGGTAACGTGAAAGAGATTTGACAGCTCATGGTAGAAAAACAGCAAGAGATTTGTAGAGGTAACTATCCAAGTAAAAAGTCACCTTAACCAGGACAATCATAAACTGACAGAGGGATAAAAAATGGTTTTAATATGGTGATAGAAAACTTGTCAGTTTTTTTGTAGGATACCTGAGGTTACTATAACTTATTTATGTTAGACCCGGTAACGAGTTGAAGTATGATTGATTTTCTCTGGACAATATTTGTTCCTGAGCGATTTTACATTAGGCAATATACTAATTAGTTTTACTAGCATTATCCCGATGAGCAAATAGACTGCTTTATTATAAAGTTGTTATCACCTATATATTTACTTCAATGTTTTTTTAAAAGTTAAGCACATAAGAGCAAAATGGGTCATGGGTGTTAGAGAATCAATTAAGAGCAAAAATTATATTGTGACAAGTTCTCTTCTTAGTCTGCAACCATTTGCTAAAATAAAAATCATTTCCCTTTCTTTTACGAACGAGAGTCGTCCAAATTTGCATTTACCTTTGTGTTGTTTGGTTCAGTATCATCCCTTCAAATCAATTCTTTCCTTTTCAAAGTGCATATCTCGGCCAAATGAGGCATTTAGAGGGCACTCAGGCCCGCGGACAGAACTTTTAAGATACTTAGATTTTCTTCCAGGGGTTATTCCCTTATTTCCACTGTAAGCCACAAAGGCATGTGCCAAACCAAAGGATATGGTTTTTGCGCTTTTTCGGTCTAAAAACGGGTATACACTTTGCTCATTTTGGTTTGGAATTGGGTATGGTTTTCGAAGGAAAAAACGCCGTATAAGAACGTATTTGTCGTTTCCATTCCAAATTAATGAACAAGAAAGAAAAAAATATATTTGCTTATTCTTTGACATAATTTCTGCCTAGAGGCCAGGACTAAAAAATGCGTGGAAAATGTCATTCTTTTGGTCTGAAATAAGGCCAGGAGTTAAAGAACAGGGCGGCTCGAACCCCCACCAACAATCCCCAGGAGCACCCCCCCTCCCCTTCCCCCACCAAGAGATTTTCTTCAAGTAGTAAATAATGCAAACAACGGTCAAGGTTTACATACTAGGGCTACACGGGAAAAACGTGCAGACCAAAAACGCAATGATTCTAAAACGCAAGTGCCTGCTGTAACAACACCTCCGACTCCTCTTCGCTTACCATCATCTTTCTCTTTTTTTGCACTTCTTACAACTTACTTCAATGAATTTACGACTGTATATCTTTCTCAGTCTAACACATAAGACAAAAACAAATTTCCCTCTTTGAGTTAGATAATACACTAAAGGGTTAGGAATTATGTATTAGCTAAGGAAACACGGCTTGTGTTAGGTAATCTCTGATTTCAAAAACCTATTACGATAAAAATTTTGACTGCCAGATAAAGATTATATCAAACAAATCGTATCCGACTTCTTTTTTAAAGAGTTCTTTGTTATGCTTTAACTATTGTTTTTGACTTTTTCACTCATGTAGGCGAACAATCTAACAGAAGTACAATCATTAATTGTTAAGTGCGGACCCAACTAAACCGGGCGATTTTTAAAACGGTAAGTTCTTGTAACAACCCCGATCCCGATCTTTTGTTAGTGACTTTATGAACTGAATAGTACCACTCAGGATCTTGCCGTTAAGGTTCAAACTACAGACTTGGCAAAATGGCTCATTTGGTAACACCTTTTTTCTTTACTTTTTACGCAGTCATCCAGGCGAACTCAAAATCGGTCAAAATCGCTGAAAACACCTTTTTGGAGGCAAAAAGACAACAATATACATTAGGTAAGGTAGTACACCGTTTATTTAACATTAATCTAATACATAGTTGGAGATATATAGCCTGTGTACACAGGCTAGCGATATATTGCTGATATGAATTCAAAGCAAACTCATTTACAAAGAAGCAGATTGTGTGGGGAACCTGTGGTATAAACCACGAAGGAATCCTCGTCCCAGGGTCTACTGGTCCTGGCCAATATGGCGCCGTGGAGCTGTTAGTTTGGATCTTCCATCGCTCACAGAGTCAGTCAGTGTAGCAGTGCAAACCTAATTTAAGCTTAATAGTACCTAAAAAATTTCAAGAAAGGACTCTGCAATATAAAAGCCAAAATACCAAAGAAGTCAATAGAATTAGAAGGTCAGGACAGATATACAAAGGTATTACATATTTACAGGGGCACTCAACGACGATTTCCTCCTAATTGCAGTGAAATTAGGATGTAAAAGTAGGCGGTGATTTCAGGCTTTCACTTTCCCACCTTTCCGTAGTTCCCCCAAAAGTAGGTGGCTCAAAACTCGAAGTAGCCAGTTTTTTAGCCGGTTGCCGGCAATTAGTAATCCTGCAGACTACAGTACTCTTAAATCTCTAGAAATGCATTCTAAGCGGGGCTATAAAATTTGTATCTGTTCGGTCATCCAAGGGGAACTTGAGGCTTTTCAAAATTACAAGGGCTTCAGTTTTATTTTCTTGAAAGTTTGAGACCGTAAGTTAATTAAGTTCATTTCTTTATCACCTAGAGATATGCCAAGAGATCAGAGGGACAATTTAAAAGATTTGACCAACAAGAAACAAGAAAGGTAAATACAATATTAAAATAATTTTATTCTATTTATATAGATTATGCAGTCTAGCAACACAGTGTACAAGATACCAGAATTCATGGTCAAAACAAACTACACTGTAAAATTCAAACTGCATGATAAATGGCACAAGACTTAACGCTGCCCCTCTCAAACATGCAAAGGAA